CGAATGGGCCAGCCTCAGTCCTATTTCCAAATACTATGATTGTAAAATGTGTTCAGTCTCCTAACACTGAGTGGTCACTTCCCCGAATCTCATTTCACTTATGAACCTGTTTGGAAGCTCTGTGAACACACTCCAGCCATGGTGAAATAGGGACCATCTACTAAGATGTAGACCCAGGCTTTCAGTTCTCTCTGCTACCTCCCTTCTGCTTTTCCTAGCTGAGAATACCGGCCTGTTGCACATCCTAAGAAGCCTCTGTACCATGCACAATGCTTCCCTCTGCTGCTGTGATCCCCACTGGAGGCCAAAATTTGGGTCTATAGCCATGCTGATGGATGAGGGCTGGACCCTGAGGGTAGACTTGGAAAACAACATTGACAAAGTCCTGACAGCTACATCTCCAGAGGCTTTCCAGTCCACTTACAGGGCAAGCTAGCCAGAAGCTCCAGGGAGCTAGCAGCTTTTGTACAAACCTCAACCCCAGCTTCCCCAGAACACACAGCACTTCCTAGTGGGCATGACCCAGCTGCCACAGTGCTGTTTGCTTTTCACCATACTTTCCTGTCACAGTTCCCCTCCTACCCAGCACTTCTTAGCATCATTCTCCAAATAAACCACATGCACTGACATTCCAATCCTGAATTCATTTTAGAAGAGCCTCAGACTTTTGCAGGGGAAAACATTCTGTTCCAATGGTGTGTCATTCATTGGCTCCATCAGGAATCTTAACAGGCTGGAGTACATAGTCACCTCCTTAGGTTCACAATCAACCAAGGAGTCACAGGGACATGGAAAGAAAGATACCTGCCTACAAATGTGCAAAGATAGCTCTGCACAGTCTATGAAAGAGATGCCTGGCCACCAGTACTGTTCCCAAAATCAGAGCTGACAAACACATCTTTAAATATATTCATTAAACGTTTCCCATTATCACTAAAATTTTCTCTTACTAGGCAATTAAAAAAGATTTAAAAAGATTCCCAGGGAGGCTGAAGCACTTGTTTGCTGTTGCATGGGGCAGGGGCCACCTCTATGTCACAATACAAAGTTCTGTTATGTAATATGACTTAGTGACACCAGAAAGGCATTTAACTCTATCGGAAAAGGCGAAACTGTGACAAGCCATCTATAATTGCTTCTCGTTTTGAGCTAGAATGTGCTCAGAAAAAATCCTTGAACTGACGGCTCTGAACGATGCAGAATAAAGTGATGGAGAAATGGCTGGAATCAGCATCAGGCAGAGCTCTTATTTTTTTTCAGGCAGAACTCTTATTAACACCCATTCTCTCCTCAAAAAAAAAATCCAGCTGGCTGGCAGCATATCACTAGTTCCCATCCATCAAGAAAAGGCATCAGCCCATTCTACAAATGGTGCAAAGAGAGCTTCTTTGACTCTTAAAGCACAGAAAGTGATCTCTAAACTATACACATGGACTCCGACACCAAACTTAAACAAAACATCAGCCATGGTTGTGAGGCACCTCCGGCTGCCCCAACATTAGTTCAAAGAATAATATTTTAACCTCTTTCTTTGGGATCAGCACCTACAACTTCATCCATGCATGGATGGACCACAGTATGGCTATGGCACAACATAATATTCTTCATGCCTGAAACAGAAAGTAAGCTGCATACCTCTCTCAAAAGTCCCCCATTATAAAACACCAAAAGGTCAAGGTATTACTTAAGACAAGCCTGTGTTTGCTAATCTCTTGTGTTGATTTCTTGACTCTCTCATGATTTTTTTCTGTATTGATAATGTGATTCCTTTATTTTTCTTTTGCTCTTCTTTTTTGCAGTGTACATGTCTGTGTATGTATTGAGGGTGGCACACATGCCACATTACGCATGTGAACATAAAAGGACAATTAGTGGAGAACAGTCAAGGGAAATGACATCAGTTCATTTCTCTTGGGAATGCAGGAAGGGAAGGCGAAAGGATAATCTCAGGAGGATGGCTATCACACGCCAAAAAAGGAAAATGGGTAAAACTCTGGAAGTTTTCTGAAGATTTGGTGTCAAAAGGATAAGAAGAGGCTGAGCCCATTTGCTCTGAGCAGTGGAATGGAGTGAGTGGTTGTTTGGAACTTCTCTGTTCAGACACATGGCAGCACCCACTTACTTCTTATAGTACTCCCAGCCATTGAGCTGGGACACCTAGACCCATGAAAAAGGATGGAGGAATAAAGACAAGGTGGCATGGTCTTCAGCCCAGGCTAAGTCCTGAGCCATAACCACCATACCTGCCAGGTGCCCAGGCTAAGTGTGTGTCCCTCAGCCCCAGTGACCACAGTTTGCAAATGTCACATGAAGCACACATCCAAGCAGATGGGTCTGGTCAGGCCAAATATTCACAAAGACTAACAGAGGAAGATTCTGAGATTTTTCAAGCCATTCAGTTTGAGGTAGTTTGTTTTATAGCAATAGATAAATGCCACAAGTCTACAGCAGGCTCAAACAAAAGTCTCTGTAATCTGTGCATTTTACATTCTGCTTGTGTGGAAATCAAAGCCAGAGAACAAGTAGCTGATTCATCACAGAATTTGCATGTCCCACTGCATGAGTTACTTTTGTGTTGGAGTAACCAAAAGACCTGGCAGAAGCAACTTAAGGAAGGAGCTATTTCTTTTGGCTCACAGTCTTAGATGTTTCTGTTCATTGCTGTTTGTGTCCACAAGACTGAAGAGAACATCATGGCTTTAGGAGCTTCCAGCAGAAGGCAGCTGTTCATGTTACAGGGGACCAGTAAGCAAAGACAATGGACAGAAGTGACAAGAAATACTATACCCTTAAGGGTCCCCTCCTAGGGACATACAGCTTCCAGCTTGAACCACTTCTCAACGTTTCCAGAATTTCTCCTAATAGCACCACAAGCTGTGGAGCAAGCTTTCAAAATGAGTCTGTGTTCATATTTTAGATTCAGACAGTAACATTAACTGCTTAGAAAAACTAAAGTGGAAATTGAGGTGGCCCCTCTGAGCTCCAGGAGGAATACTTTGCTATGGAGAAAAAAAGAACAGGGAAGCTGCTAATGTGTGTTATACAAGCAGAATTCTAGACTATGGTGTCTTGTAGGGGACACATTCCTAGAGCCCGGTGCCATATATCAGGTAGAAGCTGCTCTATCTGTGCTCCTTGAAATTAATTCTACAGACTAATTAGTAACTCTCCATTAGCCAGAAGATTGGGATCAGCAAACACTCATGTATTAGCTTATAAACAGCCATAAAACCATCTCTCACTGCCTCATTATTGAAATTCTACTACATTGCAAAACCATACTCATACTTTCAGATAAAATTCATCAGGAACTATGAAACAGTTTTAATTGATAGATAACATCCTCCCACCTATAAACACACAACTGTCATCGAATGTTGGCACTGAATAACCTCCTTTTGCAGAGGGCCCCACTAGGTATGCTGTATGCATTATAAAAATTTTTTACAAACTCTCAACTTGTTTTCCTACACATTTTTACCTTGAAATTCTAAACCCTAGTACCTAGAAATGTGACTGTATTTAGAGACAGGCCCAAAAAAGAGTCAACTAAAGAGTAGATATGGTGTTACATGCTTGTAATAGCAGCCTTTAAAGAGTAGAAACAGAAGGTCACAGGTTCTAGGCTAGCCTTCACTATACAGCAAGAACCCAACACACATACACATGCACATGTGTGTGAACACACACACACACACACACACACACACACACACACACACACACACACACACACACACACTCCTTATAGAGAGATCCAGAAGAAGCCAAGCCTGGTTATACTTTCAGCTTGGTCATCTGTCCTCTAGAACCTTGAGTACACAAATGTTTGCTGATTAAGCAGTGGCCTTAAGAGATGGTGCTGTTCCACAGCAGACCAGGAATATCAGTGCAATCTCCAGGAAATGGATGACTGTAACTCAGCTGTTTCACCCACTCAACAAAGGACCACTCATTCTGACCTTGGACATCCCACAAGCTAAGTTATCTGAACTTTCTTTAAGAAGTAGACAGTGACACTAAGTGAGGAGGTGGTTTTCCTCCAGAGGCACATTCAGCCATTCAAGGGCAAGGCATAAAGCAATTAAATGTGAATATAAGAAACTGAACTGTCCAGGCTCCTGGAAGTAGCAAGTACAAGTGGAACACAGCAGCTGCCCAGATGATTCTCTGGGGGATGCTTGAGCAGTGGTGGACGGTCACAGTGTCCTGAGTCAGGAATGCCTGGGTTCCTCTCTTTACCCAGACAAAAGCAAACATGCAAGGATTTTTAGATCTTTCCCCTTTGCATGATATTGTATTGGCCATTCTGTTTAGAATAGAGATTTTGAAGTTCACTTATTGAGCCACACAGCTGTGACAAAGAATTTTACTGCTTCTAGAACTTAAACTTGCCTAGAAACTTGCTTTGTGGTCATCTGGATCTGCAAATAGCATTGCCTTGAATTACAAATGAATCCTTTAGTTTTTGCCCCCAAGATAAAACCATGACTGCCATCAACATTACCTGGCTCTTACAGATCTGCCTCAGCCTGTACCCGTGCTTCTGTGAGAAGCATATTCTGCAGGAACTCAGTCAAAATGCAACTGTTATCTAGTGCACAATGGGGAACAATTCGGATGAGAACCCAGGTCTAAACCGCAGTCTCCAGTGCACATGCTGCCTGACACCTTCTGCTGTGGATTGTAGTGGTTGCCACCAAAGGTGCTGCTTTAAACCCTGTAAACGGAGAACAATCATGTGCATCTATAGTGAGGTTCCTTGGATGGGGCACCTCTACGCAGCATGTGGGACAACTCGAATTTACAAGCAAACACAGCAATTACCAGCAGAGGGACAGAACCGCCTCCCAGAGACCTGCCCACTTGGAAAGCCTCACAAGGAGCAATGGCTCCAAATTAAAGACACCACAGCCAGCTTTTCTGTAAAATCCTCAAAAATGCTTTATTGCTACATGCATGCAAGGGGAGGGTATTTCCCATCTGTCAGATGCACTTACCTGTTATAGAGGAGAATGTCTGGTTTCCAAATCTGGCCATCTGGGAAACGAACATTCTTCACTCCGGGGTACTCGGACATGTTCCACTGCAAATAGTGATCTGTCCAAGACTGACAGAGATGGAGCATTAGCAGTATGTTGTCCCCTGGCTTACTTCTACTTCTGGTAAGAAATTACTAGGGAAGTCCAAAGTCAGAAGAGTTGAGAAATTATTCTATAACTGAGCTGGTATCTATAAAGTATTAGGAAACCGAGAATTAAATAATCCCTTCTAAAATGATCTGGAATAGCATAAAAATCACATTTTATCTATAAAGTGTTAGGAAACTGAGAATTAAATAATCCCTTCTAAAATGATCTGGAATAGCATAAAAATCGCATTTGGGGTCCTGCTGTCACCATGACCACTTTCAGATGGTGGCATTAAAGCTAATTCCAACTAGCTGCACACCCTGGGCTTAGGCTTCTCCTCCTTCAATAGACAGGTTACTTCCAGCCAAATTAGTAATGGTTCTGCTTTCAGTTTCCCCTGAAAGGGCATTTAGAAAAAACAAACTTGCTTACTGCAACTGGAAACAAAACCGAACTATAGAAATGTCGGCCATTTGTTTCAGTGCAGTAGAACCTCTTAGCACTTCTCAGGGCACACTTAAATATGTTTTCTCATTTTGTCTTATGGACAGTGCTTCTTTTTTATTAATCTATATTTATTTTATATCCCACCTCAGCCTCCCCACCCCCTCCTCTCTGCCCACTCCCTCCCCAATTCTCCCCTCCCCAACCCACCCCTCCTCTGTAATGGCTCAGAAAGGTACAGGTCTCCCATGGGCATCAGCAAAGCATGGCATATCAAGCTGCCCTAAGATCAAGCACCTCCCCTGTATTCAGGCTGGGCTAGGCAATCCAGCATAAGGAATAAGTTCCCAAGAGCCAGTCAAAGCACTGGGGACAGCCACCTCCACCCCCCCCCAGCTCCCATTGCCAGGAGTCCCACATATAAACCAAGCTACACAACTGTCACATATATGCAGAGAGCCTAGGTCAGTCCCATGCAGGCTTCCAGGTCAGTCCCATGCAGGCTCCCTGGTTGTTGGTTCAGACTCTGTGAGTTCCCATAAGCCAGGCTAGTGGTTTCTGTGAGTTTTCCTCCAATGTTCTTGACCCTGTTTCCTACAATCCCTCCTCCCTCTCCAAAGCAGGATTGCCAGAGTGTAGCCCAGTGTTTGGCCTTGGCTCTCTGAATCTGCCTCCATCAGTCACTGGATGAAGGCTCTTTGATGACAACTGGGATAGTCACCAATCCAATCACATTTCAGGATATGCATCCACTGCTGCCAGGAGTCTTTTTGGACTGGAGTCATCTTTGCAGATGCATGGAAGTTTCCCTCGCATTGGGCTTCTACCCGACTCTATAAAGCGTCCTTTCCAGTCATCTCTCTCAGCATGGATTGTGCAACTGACGCTACAAGCAGAGACCACAAACTCTGGGCCTCAGCAGCAGAACACAGACACAAGGATGAGGACAAGTATAGCAATTTGGGATCAGGCCCTTCTCCATTACAATTCTTGCTCCAATAACCAGGTACCTCCAGTCATTCCCAGGGCCAAGACTGCAGAGATACCAGAGGCAGAGTCTTCTACTACTGACAGGCAACTAGCCTTGCCCCACTAAGTATCAGCAAAGGATACATGGACTCTGTATGTGTCGCTGCTGACATTCATGTGGCACAGTCCACACTTCCCAAGATTTAGGAGTGTGCTAAACCTCCATCTAGAACCAGAGCGACCCCCCCCCCATAATCAAACAATTCCCATTTGTACCCTGAAAAATATCAAATAATTTATGCTAAGACACATATAAATGCTCCAGGTGTATACCAACCTCCATTTGATTTCTGACCACAATGTGCTTGATGTAAAGTTATACAACAATATTTAAGTCAAAGCAACCAAACTGTGAGAGCTATTGGACTTGGCATACATACATGAGTGTTGTGGGTCTAGAGCTATGTATTCTGGTGATGAAGATCCATGGGCTGGTCTCAAGGAAATAGCCATCCTCTGGAGGACAGACAGTGTTCCATAGGCTACTTCATAAACGGAGTAAGTTGAAGTCAGAGAATAGGGGCTATTCATGAGGGACCTCAGCAAATAAGGATGCGACATGAACTCAGCATGCAGCAGCATCAACACCTGTCCTACTGGGGTACACAGTTGATGAGATTTATGGGGAGTGGACCACTGAGGAAGCTCTGGAATATTAAAGTAGTTTGCTGGGAGCTCCTGGGTACCAGCCAAACCATGTTTGTAACAGCCTGCTCCATCTGGATGAGCTTGGCTCTATGTTTCCCTTCATTTCTCTCCCCTGCTTTGTTATCAATGCATTTCTATCTTCTACTTCATGCTGAGATGCTTCGCTGAGTTAATAATCACAGTGACCATTATTGTGACCATGGGGACTAGGGCTCCAGGAACTACCTTTGAAGGCATGCTGGCATGACAGACAAGGACCCATATCCTAAGCCTGATAACATAATGGCCAGAGGCACTGGGAAGTGAAGGAATGTGATTATCTAGTTGTTCAAACTTAAGACCACTTAGTGGGATGAGGTCAGAGCTGCCTCACACTTCCCATCTTTTCCCACACCCCCTGGCTTCTGAGAACACTCAGCTGTGGACACTCCACAGCCTTGTGGCAGGTGACAACACTGCTATTTTGTTTGCTCAGGACTGTGTGTGGGCCTCCTGGCTCACCATAACCCAGGCTTGTCAATGTGATGACAATGAAAAGCTCTGACAGCTCTTATTTAAATTGATAACTGAGTCAAGACTCAATTGTATATCAAACTGCAAGGAAATGAACCTTTGAGCTGGCTCTGCAAAAGTCTTCCCTGTACTCCAAGCCTTCCACCACAGCAACACAGACCAGATGCAGTCTCTGAAGGTACTGATGTGTGCATGCTACTCTCCCTGATGTCAAAACCAACTTGACCTACAGGGCAAAGAGGAGGAATGGCTGCAAGGTCAGACCTGGCCTGTGAGACATTTGCTCGTAGAACATGTGGGCTGAATTATCTTCTGGTGAAAAATGAGACCACACCTGCAGCAGCAGGGCAAAATATGTGGTCCTTATAGACAAGCAACAAATGACAGATTTATAAAATGATACTTTCATTTTACACAACACTACAGGACACAGGGCTACATGGTCTCCAATATTTGAAATACAAACAATGGTGTAAAAACATGGGTGATGGGGGGGAGTGCTAACACAATATGGGGGTTGAGTATGAACCTTAAGATGCCTATTGGGGGGGTTCCCTAGGAAAAGTGTAGAATGAGTTCCTTGCAATCTGGTTCTAGAAGGAACGGATTGTGTTCTCAAAGCATTTTCTGTCACTTAGATCTTGGATCGGTGGAGATATGAGTCCAAGGCGTATTTCTCATGGACAGCACCTAGAAAGCTTTCAACATGTCAGCTCCTGAGAAACCACACAGATGAACCAAAGACAGCAAGCCCCGGAATGAAGGGTGGGTGGGTTGTAAGGTGACAGAGGGAAGGGTAGGAGGGAATGCAGAATGCACCTCTGTGCTGACAATTCCTTACACGACTGATACCTCGGCCCTCTGTGAACCTGTTTTGAGTTTGTGGGGAGCATTTATTTAAATGTGTGTGTCTAAACATGGCATGAATACAGAGCTGGACAGAGCCAGGCAGGTGAAACAGCTTCTCTTCCAGTTCTTGGTCAAGGGAGTCCAAGAATTGCCCTCCCAGAACTTGAAGGCAAAGTGCAATTTTGAAGATTCCACACACTTCAGCTGCATATAGGACTTAGAGGAATCGAGCTAGAAACAACCTGGAAGCCTCCTCTTTGAAGTGTAGCTCTCATAGTATAGGAAGGTGTTATGCAAGCAGCCAAGAAAGGAAAGCAACCAATGGCCTTGTCCAGCTATAAAGCCTGGTTACCACAACAAAAACCAGCAATGCAAGACAGCCCCAATGGTAAAACAGTGGCACTTTCTTAGGATTAACCAAGAGCTCTATAATCAGACCAAAGGCCCATTCAATAGGACATTCATGCCTGGGACTGTATACCTAGCCAGCAACCCACAGCTTTAGGTCATGGACCCTAAAGAAGAACCTATTACTTCCACTTGTCTAAACTGATATACTTTCTAGTTGCATTTTAAAGATGTATCCTCACACTCACAGGTAAGTGTAGAACTCAACACTCGTCAAGGAAGCTTCTTTATGAAGCACACAGAAACACACAACTAGCCAAAATACAGAAACAACTGGTGGTGGTATTTCTAACCCCAAGTGATAACGCCGACAACACAATCCCTGAGGCTCAGAGGACATCACAGAAGATGGAGTAGAACTATTTACACCACTCACTGACATGCCAACACAGACGGGGGGAAATCCCACTGAAGCACTTATCTAATTATTCTTTATCAATAAAAACTCGGGAGTCAGATATCAGGATAAGAACCTGAAAGATCAGATTAAATGGTGGCTCCATCCTGCTGACAGAGAGACAGCCAGTCTTCTCCAGGGATCAGACACCTGATAGGTTCTCTAATCGCCAGTGGTCAGCCCTAAACACACATATACACAGGAGCAATAGACCCAGTAAGTTTCACTCCTCCTTCCTCTCTCAACCTCCCTCTGTGTGTGTGTGTGTGTGTGTGTGTGTGTTTGTGTGTGAGTGTGTGTTAATAAAAACTGAAGTCTAAGAGCACAATAACAAAGAGGAGTGGGAGGAAGGGTTGGAAATTATATAAATATACAATACTAATGCATAAAATTCTCAAAAAAATGTACTTATTTTAGAAAGAAAATATAGTTTTGTTTCTGTTAAAAATACATTGCAATGAAATGAGAAATACATTTGGTTTTCTTTGCATAGAGCTGCTCAAATTCTGCTTAACTTACTGAGTGATGGGAATATCTTTTGCTAAAGGGGTTCATCTGAGTTTATGCTAATGTGTCAGCTTTGGGGTTGGAACTCCCCACAGTTTCGGGAACAAAGCTGGGCTCCATAAAGGCAAGCTGCCAGACAGAGAGTCAGAGTGCTCAACCCATCTCATCCTCCAGTTTGGAATTAGGAGGTGGGGTTGGGGA